TTAGAATTTTTTTTTTATTTATTTATTTTGACTAAAGATTAAATTAAAGAATTTAATTTATATAAATGGAAATATAATATTTAATAAAAAAAATTATTAGTACCATTAAAAAAAAAAAAATTCTATGAATATTTGAAAAAACAAAAAAAAAATACACGTGGAAGTTAAAAATAAATAATTTTTTTTTTTTTTTAAATTGAAAATTAAAAATCCCCATCGTTTTCAATTATCACATAATTATTTACTCGGTTTTTTTTTTTTTATAAACAAATATAAAATTCGAATTGAAATTTAATTTTGATTATTAATTTGAACAAATCGATTATTTTATTCCATAGATTAAATTTAAAATTTTGACCGTTAAATTATCCGACGGTATTATAATTACTATTTCATTCTCCTAATATATTTTATTTATTTATTTATTTTTTTAAATAATTTGAATTTGGGTAAGTTAAGAAAAAATTTAAACAAATAAATTATCCGGTTTAATGAAATTTTTTTTTTAAATTTAAATTTAAATTTTTATGGTAATTTATAAAAAGAAAGAAAGAAAGAAAAAAAAAAAATTTAACGGTTTTATTTTATACTCTGTGGTAAAACGAAAAAGAATAAAAAAAACTTATTCGAATGCCACAAAAAAAAAAAGGCAATTTAAAAAAAAAAAAAAAAAGTGTTGCCAAAAACTAATATTGGTGTTCGGTTTAATTTATTTATGTTTTTTTTTTTTTTTTATTTTTTTATTTTAAACTAAATTTTTTTGTTCCCAATCTTACGATTTGCTTACTAAATGCCATTGTTAATAGAATTTTATTTTAAAAATAAAAAATTACACACATTTAAATAATTATGTCTTATTTTTCTTTTTATTAATATAAAAAATATATTTTTATATCAAAAACTATATGAATGAATCGTTATTATTATTTTTTTTGGTCTTTTTCTCATAAATTCCAAATAGCAAAATCATTAAATTAAATTTAAATGAAGGATGCTTGAGGGAGGAGGGAGGGTGGAGGGTGGAAAGAAAATAAAAATTTTGATTTTTTTTTTTTTTTTAAATGAAAACTCCGTTTTTTTAAAATAATAATTAAATAAATAATTATTTTTTAATTATACTCCCTTAATTTAGGGTAAACTTGAAGTTAATAAGGAAATAAGTTCATTGTCCCAATTCCTTAATCGTAATGAAAAATATTTTAAGAGATCAAGGTCGGAGTCGATGACGTTGTGATCGCTAATATGCGAGCCATTAGTCACCATTGAAAGCTCTTCTTCCATCATTGCTTTCTCTACTAAGACTATTTCGAGATCCCCGTCTGCATTTTGACCTCGCTCCACCTAAAATGGTAGATCAAAACAATTTGTAAAACCTCATTTGATTGGTCGATTACGAGAGCCAATCACGAGAGGTTTTACAAACCCGGATCACGTTGCAGATATTTATATTTGCTTGGTTCCGTACCTCTCATGACAGACAGCCTTTCAAACGTAAGTGTAAAGCACGTAATTAATTTTTTTTTTTCGTTGAATTTCAAAACCTCATCCATGTGACAGTTATGAAAAACTATTATTATTATTATTATCTCATTATACGTTAATACTTTTTTTTTTTTTTAAAAAAAAGTGTTCTTAAGTTCATTTTTTTTTAGTAAATTCAATTGGATTTTTTTTTTTTTTTACGTGAATAAATTTTTTTTTTTCGATTTTCAAATTTTCAAATTTTCTTTTTTTTTTTTTTGCTGCTGAAAAACGTTAGTGATAGTGAAGTTATTCGAATTTAATTTTTTTGTGAACGTAGAGTGAATAAGTAATAACGAAGGCCCTCATTTTTCTTTTTTTTTTTAAAAAAAATTTAATTTTTTTTTGTATAATTTATATTTAATAATAATAATTTAAATTATTATTATTTATAATTATATAATAATTTATATTAGGGTAATTTTATTCGTGATCGGTTAAATCGGTGAAATCTCTAGAAAAAAAAAAAAAAATGGATGCGCGCGTTTTATCTATCTATGCTTTTTTTTTTTGTCTATCAATTTTTTTTTCTTTTACCTTTAATTAATAATTTAAACGAATAAGTGAATTAATATTTATTTAATTAACAATTATTAAATTATTTTTATAATAAAAGCATTTAATAAATAAATAAAACTGAGTGTCGTGTACATAATTATTACATAAATTTAGTAAAAGATTTTAATTGTTAGGATGATGATGATGATGATGATAATGATGATTTTCTATAATTTACTAAAAAAAAAAAAAAAAAAAATTAAACTGAAAATTTTATAAAATTTAATTTTGCCTTATAAATAAATAATTAAATAATAATAAATAAATAAATAATTTAAAATAATAAATAAATAAATAAACGTTAAAAAAATTTAATAAAACAATTTTATGAGTACATAATAATTTAAAAAAAAAAAAGTTATTAAAATTTTTTTTTTTTTTATTTAAATAGATTTCAAATTTTAATAAGAGTTTATTTATTTATTTAAATGGCTTTAAAAATAATTTTAAAAAAAAAAACAAATCAATAATAATAATTAAGTTATTAAATTTGAAAATTATTCATCAGAAAATAATATCATGAAGAATTTAAATAAATAAATAAATAATTAGAAAAGATAAAATAGAATATTATTAATAATTTAATAATTATTTTAATATTTATTAATTAAAAAAAGTTTAGTTTATTAAAAATTTAACTTAAGAGCACTTGGAAATTAAAATAAAAATTAATTTAAATAATAATTAGGATTTATTTTAGTTTTAATTAAATAATAGTAATAATAAGTATTTTATTTAAAAAATTTTATTTTTTTGTGTTTTAATTTTTATAGGAAGGGTTTTGGGCTTTATAAACTCCTTAAAAAAGCCCGTTAGTCCTCTGCCAGAAAAAAAATATATATATATATATATATATAAATATATATTAGATAATTATTAAAAATGCCGAAACCAGTGCAACAAGAAGGAGAGGATCCCGATCCCACTCCATATTTGTACGTTTCTCTCGAACAAAAGAGAATCGATCAATCGAAACCATACGATGGTAAAAAAGCCTGTTGGGTCCCAGATCCGGCGGAGGGCTACGTGCTGGGAGAAATCAAAGCCACAAAAGGAGATATGGTCACGGTCGCTGTTCCTGGCGGAGAGGTGGGTCATGGTATAACCCTTTCGAAAAAGGATTTTTCATTTTTTTTTTTTTTATATCGAAATTAGGTTACTCTATAATCGACGGGAATAGGAAAAATTTTTTTTTTTTTTTTGAACTATAACAATTCTCAGAGCTAAATTTAAAAATAAAAATAAACAAAATAATAATAATAATAATAATTGCCAAATGGCAAAATTTCAAATTGATCGAATTACATGTAAATAAAAGTTTGAAATCATCATTCGCAATAACTTTTTATGGATTTTTTCAATACGTTCTTAAAAAATTAAAAATAATATCGTTATAATTTTTTGTTTTTGTTTTTGTCGTTGAAAACATGAAATGACTCAAATGATTAGAAAATTTTTTGATTTATAAATTATCAGAGAATTAATTAATAGAATTTTATTTGATCAGGTAAAAACATTTGAAAAGGATCAAATAGGTCAAGTAAATCCACCGAAATTCGAAAAAGTCGAAGATATGGCCGATTTGACTTATTTAAACGAAGCCGCTGTTTTACATAATTTAAAATCTCGATATTATTCAAAACTTATTTACGTAAGTATTTAAAAACCAGATAAATGTAAAAAAATTTTTTTTGTTTAAAATATAGGAAAAACAATTCAAGAAAGATCAAGTGGCGCAAGTAAACCCACCTAAATATGAAAAATGTGAAGATATGTCCAACTTAACTTATCTTAATGACGCGTCTGTCTTGTATAATCTTAAGCAAAGATATTATCATAAGCTTATTTACGTAAGTCCCAGAGACCATAGGAAATCTTTCCACTCTTTTTTTTTTTTTTGTTAGTTTTTCACGAAAACATTCGCAACATTACGTTACTCATTTGCTCATGATTAAAAAGGCAAATTCATCAAGCCGAAAATCTTGTGCTTTGGTTGCGAAATGAAAACCTTCAACAATTATTTTCCTTTTGCACTTTGAAATTTTTCTCAAAAAAAAAAAAAAAATACCTCTAAAATAAAACCGTTTTTGTTTAATCCCCCCCAAATATAAGTCACTGGGACAGACTTATTTTTGATTTGTAACATTAAAAAAAAAAAAAAAAATGGTGGTACTTAACCATAATCGTTATTTAAATTTTTTTTTTTATTTTTTTAAAAAAGATATGTGAGTGTAACCACACTAACGGTTTAAACCTTTTTTTTTCGTTTACTACTAATTAAATTAATTAAATTTAATGATGATAAAAATTTTTATTTTATAAATTAGACATATTCTGGTCTTTTCTGTGTCGCCATCAACCCTTACAAGAGGTACCCCGTTTACACGAACCGTTGTGCTAAGATTTACAGAGGTAAAAGGAGAAGCGAAGTTCCTCCTCATATTTTTGCCATTTCTGATGGTGCCTACGTAAACATGTTGACCAGTAAGTTTGTGCCTTTTGTTGTTCGTTACTCTCAAAAAGTACCTGATGTCAAACAAGAAATTAAAACAAAAACAAAACCTTTAATTACTTTCAGACCGTGAAAATCAATCTATGCTTATCACTGGAGAGTCTGGAGCAGGTAAAACTGAAAACACGAAAAAAGTAATTGCTTACTTTGCAACCGTTGGTGCCAGTACAAGTAAAAAGGATGAAGGTTCAAAGAAAGTAAGTTTATAAAAGAAAAACAAAAAAAATTTTCAACTTTTAGCTGCTGGATTATAATAAAACGAAAAATTTTGTTCAAAAGGGTAACTTGGAAGATCAAGTTGTGCAAACCAATCCGGTACTGGAAGCTTTTGGTAACGCTAAGACTGTCCGTAATGACAACTCTTCCAGATTTGTAAGTTGATCGAATTCTTTTCTATTCCCACGTCACCGTCATTAGTTTCTAAAAATTGTCATTATGTTTTTTTAAAGGGTAAATTTATTCGTATTCACTTCGGTCCCTCTGGAAAACTTGCTGGAGCAGATATCGAAACATGTAATTATATTTAACCATATAAACATGTATTAAAAGTTTTTGGCAAATGATAATTATTTTGTTTTTAATGAAATAATTTTTCAGATTTGCTTGAAAAGGCTCGTGTAATTTCCCAACAATCTTTGGAAAGATCTTACCACATTTTCTACCAAATGATGTCTGGAGCCGTACCCGGTTTGAAAGGTATGTGAAAAGAGTTTTTTTGAAAAAAAAAAAAAAAAAAAACATGGAACCTTGGAATAATTTATCGGACATTAAGAGATAGGTATTGACAATTAAAATGAAAACTTTTTACTACCTAAATTTGAGTGTACAAATTGTCTGGAGCCACGAAAATAATTTTTCTCTTCCCCGTCGGTATATCTGGTATCTGGAAATTTCTTTTTCAGAAACTTTTTTTTAAAAAAATCATTCAAATATTTAAAATGTAATTTTCTTTTGTTTTTTTTTTATTCCCCTTTTGATGGGAAAATTTTTTACTTTATTTAGCCATGTGTCTCCTTTCGGATAACATTCAGGATTATTATTTCGTATCCCAAGGAAAAACCACCATCCCTAATGTCGATGATGGTGAAGAATTGATTCTTACTGACGTAAGTCAAGTTAAACTTGACAAAAGTTCACGTGTCTCAAAATTTTTTTTTGTTTTTTTTTTTCCCCCGTAGTTTTATTTGATGGCATTCTCACGAAAAAAAAAAAAAAGTATTTTGACTTTTACAAAAAAATGTGACGGATGCTTCTTCCTTTTTTTTTTCATACTTCATACTTCAAAAAAATTTTGATTTTTTAATATTGTAACTTTTGTAATTGGATTTCAAAAAAAAAAAAAAAAAAAAAAAAAAACTTGATTATAATTTTTTTATACCACATATGAATACAAATGTGGTGAAACCATAGGTATAAAATTTTGTTTTTTGTTATTATTATGTGAAACATGAGGACATTTCACGTAGTTTTTGTGTTTTTTTATTATTATTAGTATTAATTAATGATGTCGACGACAAGAAAAACGACAAATTTTTAAATTATTTTTACTGGATTTTTTAAAAAAAACCTTTTTTTTTTTGTCAAAGTTACTCTTTTGTACATGACGAAAACCTTTTAAAACAGAAAGTCATGTTATGTAATTATTTATCCTCAGCTATGTGCCTCCTTTCAAATAACATCAACGATTATCACTTCGTTTCTCAAGGAAAAACAGCAATACCTGGAGTAGACGATGGTGAAGAAATGTTAATTACTGATGTAAGTCATCATTATCAATTCATTTTTTGCTAAAAAAAAATATAAAAAAATATTTGCGTTTGTAATGATTTACTGACCTTGTGTGTACCACGTGAACTTTTTTTTTTTTTTTTAATTTCTATGATTGAAAATTTGTGGGAAATGAACTTAATAAATTAATAATAATAATAATAAAATTACAGCAAGCTTTTGACGTTTTGGGTTTCACCCAAGAAGAAAAGAATGACATTTATAAAATTACAGCCGCTGTTATGCACATGGGTGGAATGAAATTTAAACAAAGAGGACGAGAAGAACAAGCTGAAGCTGACGGTACCGAGGTATGTTTTTTTTTTTTTATCAAATTGTTTATGTTTTAAAACAACGACAATTGTTTAAAAACTTCTTTTTTTGCAAATTCAGGAAGGTGACCGTGTAGCCAAGCTTTTGGGAGTTCAAACTGATGAATTGTACAAAAATCTTTTGAAACCCAGAATCAAAGTCGGTAATGAATTCGTCACCCAAGGTCGTAACAAGGACCAGGTACGCTCTCGCATTTTATAAAATATATTTATTATTACCGCTAGATATTGATTTTTTTTTTTTTTATTAATGCGTTTAGGTTTCCTACTCTGTCGGTGCCATGTCAAAGGCCATGTTTGACAGATTATTCAAATGGCTCGTGAAGAAATGTAACGAAACCTTGGACACCAAACAAAAAAGACAACACTTCATTGGTGTATTGGATATTGCCGGTTTTGAAATTTTCGACGTAAGTATTTCGCCAAGAGACAAAAGTAAAAGAAAAAAAAAAATATATTAATTTGACAAAAAGTATAAAAAAGAAAATGGGGCGAAAGGATGAAGACAAATATTTTATTTTTCCAACGATTTGAAATTTTTTTTACCTAAAATTAGTTTTTTTCAGCCTGAGAAGAAAATTACATAATGTGGCTGCTAGAATGAAAACATTTTGCGATTTTTTCATTGTTTGTTTTTTTTTCCAGAATCTCGAAATTATTTGTCCAGAAATTATTATTATTATTTTTTTTTTTTATTATCTTTTTGAACATTTTCCACGACAATTTCTTGAGTCCTCATTCAATAATACCTTTTGTTTTAAACTACAGCAAAAGTTGATTTTCTTCCCTTTAAATTCATAATACCAGTCGCATAATAAATTTAATTACTATTCGTATAGTTCAACGGTTTCGAACAATTGTGCATCAATTTTACTAATGAAAAACTCCAACAATTTTTCAATCACCACATGTTTGTTCTTGAACAAGAAGAATATCAAAGAGAAGGCATTCAATGGGCTTTTATTGATTTCGGAATGGATCTTTTAGCTTGCATTGAATTGATTGAAAAGGTAAAAAATAAAATAAATCAAGAGAAGATTCGTTTCGTCTGCCTGCCTGCCTGCCTGCCACGTATTGAGCATCGTTTCATTCATTCACCTTTTCTTCATCGATATTGTTTATATATTAAAACCTTTTGAATATACAATTGGATCAGTATATTATATTATTGTTGTTAATTCACTTGTTTGCTTACTTCATAGGTGCAAATTTGGGGAAAAAAAAACTCAAGAAAATGAGATTAAAATGTTGGATGATTTTCTTCCAATGAATTTTCTTCTGTGCCTTCATCATTGTAATTTACCCCCCAAACAAAAAAAAAAGTAGAAAAAAATGGAAAAAAAAAAAAAAACTCTTTAAAAAACAAGAGAGTGTGTAATGCTATGTTATAAACCATAATTAATTTTGCAGTTTAACAGTTTCGAACAACTCTGCATCAATTTCACCAACGAAAAACTACAACAATTCTTCAATCACCACATGTTCGTTTTGGAACAGGAGGAATACCAAAGCGAAGGCATTGAATGGTCATTCATTGACTTTGGCATGGATTTGGTAGCTACTATAGAACTTATCGAGAAGGTATATTGAGACTATTATCTTCTCAAAGCTGAGACTCCAAAAGGCTATTAGTAGACTTTTTTTTACTGTTAAAATATTCGTTTTTTGCGTACCCTAGTATTTTTTTTACCATAAATTTAAACCTTATTTGTTATTTAACCTCTGGAAAAGCTTTTAATCCTACAAACTATAAACTGACTAATTTAGAGATTTCGTTTTACTTTTTTTTCATGCTTACTGTTTTCATGGTGCTAACAAAAATCATTGGTAATAATTAATTCTTATTTAACTCAAAAGGATGAATTACCAGAATTAATTATTACTTTTGTTGAAGCAATTGATTCCTTTCATGCTTCGTTTATGTGTTTGTTTCTAGCTTTGGCTGAATACCCATGAAAAATTAAATGTGGAGTAATTTTATAAAAAATACCTGCATTTATTTTTAATTTACATTGCTGTGATGCTAAACGTTTAACAATTTTTCAATTTTTTATTATTTAGAGATTATCTTTTGAGAAAAAAAACAAAAAGGTTTAACAAGTTTTTACTCCTGAAAATTCTAGCCTATGGGTATTTTGTCCATCCTTGAAGAAGAATCTATGTTTCCAAAAGCCACCGACAAAACTTTTGAAGACAAATTGAACGCTACTCATTTGGGTAAATCAGCTCCTTACAGAAAACCAGCTCCACCAAAACCAGGATGCCAAGCTGGTCACTTTGCCATTGCTCACTACGCTGGTACCGTAAGTATTCTACAACCCCATTTAACTTTACCTCGTTAATGGTACATGTCAAGACAAGAGCAATCGTCGAACATTAAAATTCTTATTTTAAAATACTTAGGTATCATATAACATTACCGGATGGCTTGAAAAGAACAAGGATCCGTTGAACGACACCGTCGTAGATCAATTTAAGAAAGGTCAAAACAAACTCTTGGTTGAAATTTTTGCCGATCATCCTGGACAATCTGCTGATCCAGCTGCCGCTAGTGGTGGAAAAGGTATTTGAATTATTTAAAAATAATTTTTTTCCGGGATTATTAAGGAAAAAAAAAACCCAAACAAATTTTTTTCGGCATCGGGAATAACATCGGCGATCGATGTAGGCGCCATCATTTATTTATTTTCATAAATAACAAATTTATTTATATTTTAATTTTTACGTCCGCTTATGGTAAAAAAAAAAAAAAAAAAAAAAAGTAATTAAATTTAAAGAACAATTATTTTTATTTTCATCGTGTAGGTGGTAAGCGGCAAAAGGGTTCAGGATTCATGACAGTTTCCGCCTTATACAGGGTAACTTGTCTCATCGTCCTAAATTTTGTTAAATGTTGTCTTTAAATGTTTCGTCATCGTCCTGATCGTTACAATTAATTTAAAATTAAAACAAATAAAAAATAAAAAAAAATTAAAAACGCATGAGATTAATTTTGTTCGTCGAATAAAGTTTGGGGAGGGGAGGGGAGGGAAGGGAAACATAAAGCTAAAAAAAAAAAGAATTGTCCGAATTTTTTTTTTTTTTTTTTTTTGCTTTTGCAATGACTAATAATTAATTAATACGTTTCAAAAACTATTTACTTTAAACAGGTGGGGGAAGAGGCAAAAAGGGGGGGGGCTTTGCTACCGTTTCTTCTTCATATAAGGTATTAAAAAAAAAAAAAAAAAAAAAAACGACCGAGATAGTATTTTAGAGATAGTATTGGGTGTACAAAAATTTTCCTTTTTTTTTTTTTTTTTTTTTTTTTTTTTAGTTTTGACAATCAAACAAACGTATATATACACAAGCATTGTTCAAAACTAAATTGGGCTTTTTTTTTTTTAGTTTTTTTTTTTTCATTCACTTGCACAATCAATCAGCTTAAGAAAAATTATTTAGGAAATTTTTTTTTTTTTGACTAAAATCATTCAAATCATCATCCATTATTCGAATAAGTCATGAGAAAATTCAGTTTTCACTGATAGGATGTCATTTTCAGTTTTTCACTCAATTTAAAAAAAAAAAAAAAATGCTCTTTCGTTTCTCATTATTTTATTTTTTTGTCATAAACTTTGATTCATTCAAATCGCAATTAATTAACTTTTGAAAAATTTTTGTTTTTTTTTGACATAACTCAATGTTTTAACATTTGTTAGTTTTTATGTGTGCTACTGCTCCAAATAATAAATTTGAGTATTTTTTACAATTTTTTTAAATTTGCTAAATTTGTTTTTTTTTTTTTTTTTAAAAAAAAAATTACAATTTAAAATTACACAAGTGTGTGTCTGAACTTTACTAATGGTAACCAATTTTTTTTTTTTTTTTTTGACAGAAAACTAATTTTATGTTATTTTTTTTTTTTAAATATTAACTAATTTAAAAAATTTATGTATTTTTATTATTTATGTGTCAGAAATGATAAATCATTCGTATAAGTTTTGAAATTTAAATTTAGTAGTAGGGGATTTTGAAAAATTGAAAAAAAAAAAAAAAAAAAAAAAACAAAAATTTATATTTTTCATTACTTCCCCCCTTTTTTTTTTTTTTTTTTAAAAAATTTTAAATCAAAACAAGCAGAAAAAAAACCCTTTATGAAATTAGTTATCATAAATCCAGGAATTTTATTTTATTTTTTTTGCAAGAGTAAGAGTAACATTTAAAGTAAAATGTAAACTAAAATTTGTTTTTAAACTTTACACAGGAACAATTGAACAATTTGATGACTACTTTGAAAAGTACTCAACCTCACTTTGTTCGTTGTATTATTCCCAATGAAATGAAACAAGCTGGTGAGCATATAAAAATATTTTTATTTTTCATATATATATATATATAGGTTGCGACCTGAAAGATTAAATTTTTTTTTATCTAAATCAGGTGTCATCGACTCCCACTTGGTTATGCACCAATTGACATGTAACGGTGTACTTGAAGGTATTCGTATCTGCCGAAAAGGTTTCCCCAACAGAATGGTTTACCCAGACTTCAAATTACGGTACCTATCAATTTATTTAAATGAAAAAAAAAATCATGATTTTAAAGTTAATTATTTAATTTTTTTAAAATTTGACAAAAATATTTGACATTTTCCAACAGGTACAAAATCTTGAACCCGAAAGAAGTTAGCAAAGAAAGCGACCCTAAAAAATGTGCCGAACTCATTTTGAACGCGAGTGGGCTCGATACTGAACTCTACCGATTGGGTCACACCAAAGTATTTTTCAGAGCTGGAGTTTTGGGTCAAATGGAAGAACTTAGGGACGACAGATTGAGCAAGATCGTTACATGGATGCAAGCTTACGTAAGAGGATACTTGAGTCGTAAGAACTTCAAGAAATTGCAAGACCAGAGGTACGCGTGATTCACTTATTTACGGATGTAGGCATAGGGAAACATAAACATAAACGAATGATTTTAATTTTAATTTTATTTAAAATTTAGATTGGCTCTACAAGTTGTACAACGTAACTTGCGTAAATACTTGAAACTCAGGACCTGGCCATGGTGGAAATTGTGGATCAAAGTTAAGCCCATGCTTAATGTTGTTAACGTAGAAGAAGAAATGAGGGTAAATATCGGATTTAAAATGTTGTTAACCTGGTGCAACTTGATAAAAGTATAAAAATATCAAATGGAAAACATATATTTATTTACATTTTAGAAATTAGAAGAAAAATGCCAAAAAATTCAAGAAAGCTTGGAAAGGGAAGAAAAGGCTAGAAAGGAATTAGAAAACTTGAACTCTAAATTGCTCGAAGAAAAACAAAAATTGCTCGATTCATTGGAAGGTGAAAAAGGAGCTCTTGGATCCATTCAAGAAAGAGCTGCTAAACTTCAAGCTCAAAAGAATGATTTGGAATCTCAATTGAATGTAATTAACACATACATTTAAAAATTAAACGTTGGATTTAATTATTTTTGATAAAATTTTTAAAAACAAATTTGTTATATTTTATTTTAGGAAATGCAAGACAGGCTTCAACAAGAAGAAGATGCCAGAAACCAAGTGTCACAAAATAAAAAGAAATTAGAACAAGAATTAGCTGGTTTGAAGAAAGATTTGGAAGATGCCGAATTGTCTCTTCAAAAAGCCGAAGCCGACAAAGCCACAAAAGATCATCAAATCAGAAACCTTAATGATGAAATTGCTCACCAAGATGAACTCATCAACAAACTTAACAAAGAAAAGAAAATGCAAGGTGAAACAAACCAAAAAACAGCCGAAGAACTCCAGGCCGCTGAAGACAAAATTAATCACTTGAACAAAGTCAAAGCTAAACTCGAACAAACTTTAGATGAACTTGAAGACTCATTGGAACGCGAAAAGAAACTTCGGTAAGAAATTATAATAAATAAAAAGAAATTCTTATAAAAGTTGTAATTAATAATTAACTATTTTATAAAAAAATTTTTAATTGTGTAGTGGAGACATTGAAAAAGCCAAGAGGAAAGTTGAAGGTGACTTGAAATTGACTCAAGAAGCTGTTGCCGATCTTGAAAGAAACAAAAAAGAACTTGAACAAACGATCCAACGTAAAGACAAAGAATTAGCTTCCATCACTGCCAAGCTTGAAGATGAACAATCTCTCGTTGGAAAACTCCAAAAACAAATTAAAGAATTGCAAGCAAGAATCGAAGAATTAGAAGAAGAGGTTGAAGCTGAAAGGCAAGCTAGAGCCAAGGTATGAATGAAACTCGCCCATCAAAACTTTATTTTCGATTGATTTAAAAAAAAAAAAACAAAAAACGATAAATTGCAAAATATGCACTTTTGAAAAAATTAGGCTGAACAACAAAGAGCACACTTGGCCCGAGAACTCGAAGAATTGGGCGAACGTCTTGAAGAAGCCGGTGGTGCCACTTCAGCGCAAATTGAACTCAACAAGAAGAGAGAAGCCGAATTGTCAAAACTCCGCAGAGACTTGGAAGAAGCTAACATTCAACATGAAGGTACTTTGGCCAATTTGAGAAAGAAACACAATGACGTTGTTGCCGAAATGAGCGAACAAATTGACCAACTCAACAAATTGAAAGCCAAGTAAGAGACAAAAGAAATTTTTTTTTTTTAAAATTTTTCTAAGCAAGAATATTTTTCGCAAAAAAAAAAATTTAATTTTATTATTTTATTTTTAAGAGCTGAAAAAGAAAAAATTCAATACTATACCGAATTAAACGATCTTCGAGCCACTCTTGATCACCTCAGCAATGAAAAGGTTTGTTGATTAACTTTTCAATTATTATAATTGGTCCCGTGAAAAGTTCGTTACAAATAATTCATTGTAATTTTTATTGAACGATAAATTTTAGGCTGCCGCAGAGAAAATTGCTAAACAATTGCAAAACCAAAACAACGAACTTCAAACCAAGGTTGATGAAGCCAATAGAACTTTGAATGATTTTGATGCCGCCAAAAAGAAATTGGCCATTGAAAACTCCGACCTTCTTAGACAACTCGAAGAAGCCGAATCTCAAGTCTCTCAACTAAGTAAGATAAAGATTTCTTTGACTACTCAGTTAGAAGACATGAAGAGGCTTGCAGATGAAGAAAGCCGGGTAAGTAATGCAATCTATACAATGGAGAATGAGAAAACATTGCAAAAAATATTAATTGATTTTTTTCTTGTTAGGAACGAGCCACTTTACTTGGTAAATTCCGTAATCTTGAACACGATATGGACAATATCCGTGAACAAGCTGAAGAAGAAGCTGAATCAAAGGCTGATCTTCAAAGGCAACTTTCGAAAGCCAATGCTGAAGCTCAATTGTGGCGTAGCAAATACGAATCCGAAGGAGTTGCCAGAGCAGAAGAACTCGAAGAATCTAAACGCAAATTGCAAGCTCGTTTGGCTGAAGCTGAAGAAACTATCGAATCTCTTAACCAAAAGGTTATTGCTCTTGAAAAGACTAAACAACGATTGGCCACCGAAGTTGAAGACTTGCAACTCGAAGTCGACAGAGCCACTGCCATTGCCAACGCTGCAGAAAAGAAACAAAAAGCATTCGACAAAATTATTGGAGAATGGAAACTTAAAGTTGATGATCTCGCCGCCGAACTTGATGCCAGTCAGAAAGAATGCAGAAACTACTCAACGGAATTGTTCAGACTTAAGAACGCCTACGAAGAAGGTCAAGAACAATTGGAAGCTGTTCGCAGAGAAAACAAGAACCTTGCCGGTAAATTTTTTTTTTTTTATTGCAATGCATCGAATTTTTGAAGTTTGGGTGCTTACGAAAGAAAACGTTTTTTTTTTCTTCAGATGAAGTTAAAGATTTGTTAGACCAAATTGGTGAAGGCGGAAGAAACATCCACGAAATTGAAAAGGCTAGAAAACGATTGGAAGTTGAAAAGGATGAATTGCAAGCTGCTTTGGAAGAAGCTGAAGCTGCTTTGGAACAAGAAGAAAACAAAGTATTGAGAGCTCAATTAGAACTTTCTCAAGTCCGCCAAGAAATTGACAGACGAATCCAAGAGAAAGAAGAAGAATTCGAAAACACAAGAAAGAACCACCAACGAGCTCTTGACTCGATGCAAGCTTCTCTTGAAGCCGAAGCTAAAGGCAGAGCTGAAGCTCTAAGAATGAAGAAGAAATTAGAGGCTGACATTAACGAATTAGAAATTGCTTTGGATCACGCTAACAAGGTAACAAAAAAAAAAAAAAAATTAAAATTTTAAAAACGTTAAATAATTTTATTTACTACCGAAGAAAGTACTGAGAATTAATTTTCTTTTTTCTTCAGGCCAACGCCGAAGCTCAAAAGAACATCAAACGATACCAACAACAATTGAAAGATGTTCAAACCGCTCTTGAAGAAGAACAAAGAGCTAGAGACGATGCCAGAGAACAACTTGGCATTGCTGAAAGAAGAGCCAATGCTCTCCAAAACGAATTGGAAGAATCTAGAACACTTCTTGAACAGGCCGACCGTGGTCGTAGACAAGCCGAGCAAGAACTTTCTGACGCTCACGAACAACTTAATGAACTTTCAGCTCAGAACGCAAGCATGTCTGCAGCCAAACGAAAATTGGAATCGGAATTGCAAACCTTACATGTGAGTAACGCACCTTTTATATATAACATACATTTGCAATGTATAAAATTATGAAAATTTAAAATGTAAAAATTTTTTATATTTAGTCTGACCTGGATGAACTTCTCAATGAAGCTAAAAACTCCGAAGAAAAAGCCAAAAAAGCAATGGTTGATGCCGCTCGCCTTGCTGACGAATTGAGAGCTGAACAAGATCATGCTCAAACTCAAGAAAAATTGAGAAAAGCACTTGAACAACAAATTAAGGATCTTCAAGTACGTCACGGGATAAGAAAAATAATAATAATAATAATAATTTTTAATTATAATATTAAAAAAAAAAAAAAAATTTTTTTGAAACAGGTCAGGTTAGACGAAGCCGAAGCGAACGCTCTCAAAGGTGGCAAAAAAGCCATTCAAAAATTGGAACAAAGAGTCAGAGAATTAGAAAACGAACTCGACGGTGAGCAAAGAAGACACGCTGATGCCCAAAAGAACCTCAGGAAAACCGAAAGAAGAATCAAGGAATTGAGCTTCCAAGCCGAAGAAGATCGTAAAAATCACGAACGCATGCAAGATTTGGTAGACAAACTCCAACAAAAGATCAAAACCTACAAGAGGCAAATCGAAGAAGCCGTAAGTTGTCTTTCTTTTTTGCAAAAAAGAAAATAAATGTACCTGGGAGAAAGAACTCTCGAACAGGTTTTTAATAAATTTGTGTCATTTATTTATCATGCAGGAAGAAATTGCTGCTCTCAACCTTGCCAAGTTCCGTAAAGCACAGCAAGAATTAGAAGAAGCCGAAGAAAGGGCTGATTTTGCGGAACAAGCCATTGCCAAATTTCGTCAAAAGGGTAGAGCAGGATCCGCTCCAAGGGCATTGAGCCCAGCTGTAAGTGTTTCAAAACTTGTTATCAATCTTTATTTCTCACCAATTTTACGTTTCTTCGACAATTATCTTGTAATATTTCAACATCTTGCCGGTACCGATGGCAAAAAAAATCCGAAGTTAAAAAGTTAATCAAAATATCTTTCGTACCACTCTCTTTGTAGCAAACTTTTTTTATTTTTGCTCAAAATTTGAATTAAAAATAATTTTTTTTTTATTTAACAGCCACCACAAAACAGATCGCGTTTGGCATTAGAATAATAAGCCAACGCCGAGTTGTAAGTTTTAATTGTTTTCGCATATCCCTTTTTTTTTTTGGCCTTTTTTAGCCTTTTTTTTTTAAGTTTGTTTGTCTTTTTCTGTTCTTTTCTTTTTATTACCTCGAATGACAAATGCTACATGTGGTTACGAGAATGTAGCATTCCAAAAAGTACCGATTTTCAAGTTTGAATATTATTTTTCAAATTTGATTTGCTGCTTCAGTGCCCTAAAAATACTTCCTTGTTAAAGTTTAAGCTTTTTAGCTAAATCTTATTTATTTGATTGATTGAGAGAAAAATGATGGGAAATTTTCTTTTTTGATTTGATTTGATTTGAAAAACTCTTTGATGAACTCTTTAACTTTGGTCTTCATATTGAAAATTTTACACGAGACACCCAATGTGTTATTATAATATTTTATGTAAATATAAGATTGGGAAAATTTATTTATCAAGTTGAAGATGAAATGATTTTGTTTAAAAAATTACTTAAAAAAATGTATTAAAATTTTCCAGCACCATAGACCGCCAAGACCTCAATTAGATGGAATGATGGCGTTCCCACCAAGATTTGATTTTCATCCAGAAGGAGAACTATAATAATCCAAATTAATAACAAATAAAAAAAAAAAAAAATTACATAACCAATTAAAAAATGTTATAAATTTTATAAATTGATTTCAAAAAAAAAAAAAAAAAAAAAAAATTAAATAAATAATTAAATTAAAAAAAAGAAAAAAAAAAAAAAAAAAAAAGTTTCAAATAATTAAGGAATTATTAGTCGAAAAGATCTGTAAATAAAAATTACAGTTTTTCAAATTTAAATAAAAATTCTATTTTAAAAAATTATTATTAATCAAATTTTTTTATTTTTTTTTTTATAAATATATGTCTTGGTCCTTTCCTTCGAATGATCAAAAAAAAAAAAAAAATAGTAATATAAAAATATATATATTATTATTATTAAATTCATAAAAAAATATAAAAAAAAAAATTTTCAAAATTGTATTGATTGAAAATAATTTTATTATATTTTGTATAAAAATATATTATGAATTTACAACAAAAATATTAATAAAATATTTTATTAAAAATGTGATGATTATTAACTAATAATAATAATAAATTTTAAAAAATTAATTATGATTTAATTAATCGTTTGTTTGTTTTTAACATTTTATTCTTTTTTACTATTCACATAATTTTTTGTTTTTTGTATCGTTTGTTTATTCGATTTTGAAAGAGATTTCCATTTGGAAATTGACAAAAATAAATTAAAAGCATTTACTATATATGTTCCAACACATATCATGCAGAAATCGTGAAGAATGAAATATAATATGTAAGCCAAATATACTGATAACACATTGGATACAAGGCAACTTATTAGCTGTAGTTTTATTATGGTTTTTTGATCACTGTAACCTGTTGGAAAATTGTTTTTTTTTTCAGGTGAAATTAAAACAAAAGTAATTAAATAACTAAAACCATAAGTTAATTAATTACTTGAAAAGTGTAAAACTTTACTTTTGTACTTGGTTTTTTCAGATCATAAATTTTTAGTAAATAATTAAAAAAAAGGTGGATGGAAGAGGATGTTACTTACATGTCAATGCCAATAACAGGTAGAAAAATATACCACCCAAACTATTGGGTTGATTTAAAATTGAATTTTTACCAAAAATTGGTTCAACAAGTCCAAAACCTTTACCATATCTGAAATTGTAAATATAATATTTTAAAATCATATTTAAAAGGTATTCTAAAATCATTTAAAATTAAAAGGTTAGTAAATAAATGACTTTAAATACAATAATAAAACATTACTATTTTATATATAAGGGTTTTATTATCATGTCAGCATACTTGGAAGAAAATGCTTTTGTGCAGCTAACATATTCATTAATGTCGCAATATGCTCTGTAATCTTTATCATTTTCACTTTTCAATTCTACTGCTAACGCATAACAAGATAATATAAAACCCACCGCACATGATGCTATGAAAAACTTATCCTTATTTTTTATTATCATATTTATAAAATAATTTTAACAAGGTAAAAAAATAATAAATCTAATAGTTTATTTATTTCGATAAATTTAAATTGATTAACATTAAAGACACAAATCAAAAACAAAAAAAACAAAAAATTTTCGGAGATATTTTTGAAATTCTTATCTTCACAATGTGTGTGCTTTTTTTTCCCCTTAAATTATATGGGAAGCTGCAAATGATAATAAAATTGTGTTGATAAGAGTAATTAATTTTTATTTATAAATTATTATATTAAATATTTCATGGAAATAATTAAATATAACTTTGATATAGGTTTTAAATAAATAAATAGTTTTATAATTTATTTTAAGGATAACCTCAAGTAAATACAAAAAAAAAAAAAAAAATTGATTCAGTTAAAGTGTTATATGTTGTAGAAATTGAATAATGTTTTAAATGGTTAACTTTAAACATTTTAAATTTTTAAATTTTTACAAAGTATTAAAAGGCAGGCAGGAGTTTTTTTAAATTTAATAAAAACTATTGTACGTGTATAAATATTATTTTATAAATTATTTTTAATTTTGTCTTTTGGTTTCAAAATATTATTTAAAAAAAAAAAAAAAAATCATAAAATAAAATGGCCACACTGTAGCACGTTAGTTAATATTGTTAAATTTTTTCATTAAATGAAAAAAATTTGTTAATTTTATTATTATTAAGTGAACTTTTTGAATTAGGTGATTTTTATATAAGAAATATATATATGTGTATAGAAGTATAATTTTAATTTTTAATAAATATAAATTAGTTACTTTTAAAAAAAATATATAAGAAGGAGTGAAATTAAACTTATTGCTTAGGCATTCTTAATTCAAAAATTTATTTAAATTTATTAATTATACATTAATAAATTTCTTATAATCAGTAATAATTACTTATTGCCATACTATATTTATATGTTTTTGTTTGTAATCGGTTAACAATTTAATAATTTTATTAAAATTTGTGAAAGTTATTTATTTTATAATTCTCACTAAAATGTTTTTTAATGAATGTAAAGATTTAAATTATCATACTTTATTGCATACTAAAGTTAATTTATATTTTGCAATAGTAGAACTTTTTTTATTTCATCTACATTTCTATGATTTTTAAGTTTTGTATATTCATTATTACTTTTAATTTATGATTATTTTAATATTTTTAATGTTTTTTCTTTTCAGCATACACATTTCATTCTGAGGATGAAATGTCCAAGATTTGGTTATCCTTCTGGTAGATCACCGCAAAATCCACTAAAAGTTCCTATAGTAGAAAAGAAATTCAATGATGTGAAATTAAAGTATAGATTAAATGAAAAAAATACTAGTTCATCATCTGGGATTTGCCTGTCTGAAATGACATTACTTCTTGGATGTTTCAAAGCGAATGGTTATAATGAAAAATTCTGTCAAGAAGAAATTAAAAATTTTCAACATTGTTTCGATGTAACTAAAGGTCTTTTAAAATCGAATGATGAAGGGAAAAAAAAAAGAATATCTTATTCTGATATAAATAAACTCTTTAAAAGATTTTCATAGGAGTCATGTATATAAAAAAACAAGTAAGAAAAAAATTGTGAGATTGCTTTCGTTTCACCATTAAAAAACGATAATATTACGTAGCTTAGGACACTTTGATAGGAAATAACGAAACTTCATTGCTAATAATATTATGTAATGTAGTCAATTTTTAATAAAAACTTATTGTTTATGTCAGACTTATTTCAATATTTTTTAAAGTTATTTATTAATTTTTATTTTACAATTTCACAAGTTTTAGGATGAAAAAAAAACTTAAATTGTTCTCATTGCTTAATATTATATATTATAAAATATTTTTAAGATTATACATGAAATTATTCTGACATGTTTTAAAAAGTATCGAATAAAAAATTATAGCATTATTTTTAAAAAAATTTTCAAAAAAGAAAAAAATTTACAGTAAATTAAAAAGGAAAAATGAAAATGTGACTCTTTTTAGAGATCTTCAAAAAGCATTCTTATATTTTCTTTATCTTGACATTCAATGTCATTCAGGCGCTCCACCGAGTGAAATTTTATTAATGTTGGAACTGAGGTTAGTTTAAACCTCTCATCAGTCCTGAATTTACAATTTGGATCCTTCCATCTACAAAAAAATTAATTATGTGTTAGATGAATTTTCATTAAATGAGTTTTTAATAAAAATAAAACATAAATAAATAAATACAAATTATTAACGAAAAGTAATAAAAACTTACTCTTCACGAGATCCCACGGAAACATGAATAAAAGTAAAATTTTTTTTACTGCATTCTTCTAAAACTTCTTTTACAATCGGTTCGGCTAAAACAAAATCGATTCGTTCATATTTACATATAAATAAAAAATATATTTTAATTTTTACTTTAGCGATAGCGCATGACTCATAGTTATCGGAAAATGTTTATAATTAGGTAATAATTTTTTACCTGCTTGACAGTCTGGACACCAATTTTCACCTTTATCATTAACTTGTCCGGCGAAATATAAAACAAGTTTTGTTTCAGGATTTAACGAATGTAGCAATTCGTTTAAAGCATCGTATCCATCTACGTGAACTTCAGTAACCATTTTTAAAATTAATTTCTTTTTCAACTAGTGCTTAGTATCACTGAGACAGATAAAATACTTCATATTTCCCCTCTTCAACTTTTGATAAAAAAATTTACTTAAGAGATATGTAACATTAGGTGTGTCAAGATTTTTTACGCATGTTTTACAAAAAAAAAAAATAAATAAATAAAAATATCAGTATTATTAAAGTAACTGATAAAGTAAAAGTTTAATTAATGGAATTAAAAATCATAGCAGTTAATAAATAAATATATATTAAAATACAAGAAATTCTAAAATTTTAAGTTGGCTACACTGCTTGCAATGTTAATGAAATGAAAATAATATTTTCCTCCTTAAATTGTCATTTAGTACATAATTCATAATTGTAAAAACTGTACTTTTTCAAGTTCAATTTTTTTTTACAATTTTTTTACTTTATTATTTTTACAATTTTTATATTTGAATAAATATTATTAT